GAACTACACTAGCTAAACTATCCTACACAAAGGAAATTGAAGAACTACATTTCTGCACTTCCAGCTCTCTCCCCCGTATGTTTTCTCTTTCTGATTGCTCTCTATATAAAACTGATATGAGGTGCCTTTCCACTGGTCCAAAATTTCTGCTATGATTCTCCAAATCTGAATTTGTTAAGGGAGTCAAAAATAATGGCTTTTGACTTGGAACCTTGGCTATATCTCTTCCTTATGTCTTCTGAAGCATGTGCAGCCTACGTTTTCTCTCCAACTCTAGCTGGAAAGTAGTGTGAAGATGAGAAAAATGGCTGAGCAAATTACAGAAATTCGGCTGCCATACACGTTTTCACTTTTGACCTCACTTCAACTGCATTTTTCTCCATGATGAAGGCCGAACTGGCTTTTGTGGAAAACACAAAAGTTGTAGCCCTTTGAATTAGCGTTCCAATGCTTCAAGAATCATCTAATTTGGAGATCGGTGGATGGAGATATGGTCAAAATACCATAGACTGGTCAATTCTGGGCTTCAGCTTTCGACCATCCAGATAAGTTTCTGTGTTTCGACATTTTGACCAAGAAAACGGCTGAATTGGACTTTGATGTGTTCATACCAAATGTAGATATATCTCTTAACTTCAAAATGGTATCAAGATCACCTTGATCCGATCATTGTAGCTCCTGATATAGTCAAAATACGAAAATGTGTCTGAGTTGTCAAAGCTAACTTTTCTTGATTTTTGTCCTCAAATTGCATTTCTTCCTTTTACACTTCATATTTTATTTTCACCACTTTAATCCATCATCAATCATCCAAATATCTTCTCAATGCACTTCATTTGATGATTGAATCATTAAACCTACAAAATATGAAGTTTTTTCCCATAAAAATCAATAGAAATGCAATGTTAGCCACTTTAACATAAAATGTAGATTTTTACCAAAACCTTAGTTATTTTAGTTATAAAGCTAAATAATCAAACCAAAATTAACTAATAAAACACACTAAAAATACGTAAAATAAATTCTTATCAGTTGACGTAACTCGGAGATTTACGAAAGGACCTGGACGGAAACGAGTGGAAATAGATTTCACCTCCGTTATGACAATTCCTCTTCGCTGCCGAACAAACATTCATTCTCTCTCCAGTGAAATGAAAGTGGCTAAGTCAACTCTTCATTGACAAATTAAAGAAGGTGCTATTAGGCAGCATTCAAATGCATTAAAACCACAGTTGATGGATGAAAATAAGCAAGGAAGACTTTGATTTTGCTTGTCAATGCTTGAATCTGAAAGTCTCAATACTAAACTAGTTTTTAGGAGTATGTTTAATGTTGTTCATGTTGATGAAAAATGGTTTTATATGACTAAAGAATCCAAAATGTACTATCTTCATCCTGAGGAAAAGCAACCTCTTCGAACATGTAAGAGCAAAAAATTCATTGCGAATGTTATGTTTCTAGCTGCTGTAGCTCGACTTCGGTTTGATTGCTCTTACTACCGAGAATTTGATGGCAAAATTGGTATTTTTCCTTTTGTACTAAAAGAGTCGACAAAAAGGAATAGTAAAAATTGGATTGCTGGTACATTAGAAACGAAGCCAATATTGTCAGTGGCTAAAGAGGTGTATAGAAAATGCCTAATTGAAAAGGTTTTACTTGCAATATGCAGTAAATGGCCACGTGAGAATGGTACTGAAATTTTCATCCAACAAGATAATGCCAAACCACATATTAATCCCATAGATTCTAAATTTATTGAGGCTGCTTCAATGGATGGATTTGATATTCATTTGTTATTTCAGCCTCCTAATAGCCCAGACATGAATGTTCTTGATTTAGGATATTTTAGGGCCATACAATCACTTCAACATCAAGAAGCGCCCAAAACAATTGATGAGCTAATCCTTGCTGTTGAAAAATCATTTGATCAACTATCAACTGAAAGCCTCAATAATGTTTTCTTAACACTGCAATCATGTATGGTAGAGGTGATGAAGAACTTAAGAGGAAACAATTACAAGTGCCACACATTGGAAAGCATCATTTAATGAAAGATGGTTCTCTTCCTCTGCACATTGAATTTGAAAAAGAACTTGTTAACCAAGTTTGAATTCATATACAAGCATGAAGATGGTTTCATTGGACAGGTTCACTTATATGCAAAACTAGTTTGTGCTTTACAGTTTATGGTCCCTACTTCTTTGTTTATGGTTGTTTACATTAACTTTTGTTTTTTTTTCTTCTTTATATAGGTACTGAAGTATACTAATCAGGTTTTTACAAGTAAATGGCAGTACAAGTGGTTGGATTTTGCATTTTATATTTATGGTAGTTTACATTTACCTATATTCTTTATCTTCTTATTTATTGGTACTCGACAGTATAAGTGCTTGGATTTTGCAAAATGTAAAAAAGGACTCAATCTTTCTTTTGATCAGTTATTCTTGTTTGCTTAATGTGTATCTATGGAATATTGATAGGGCAATTTATAAAGATGCATATCTATGGAAATTGGTAAATTATTCTTGTTTACTTAATGCGTATCTATGGTTGTTTACTTATTAGAAATATAAGTTGAGTTATTGGATATGGCAATTCATATTTTATTGTTTTTTAGATTGATTCTTTTGGTATTCTCAATTATCTGCATCTTTATTTGCTGTCTTGGTTAACTCGCGTTTTTTCTCATCTTACTTGCAGGGATTTAAAGTCTAAAAATTCAAACTTTTTGAACTTGATGTTGCAAGTACTTTAATTGTGCAAAGATTGGAGTAGTAAAAGTGCTTATCAATTTGTAAATTAAATGTTTTTGCTCACTTTAGTAAAGTAACTTTTGTAAAGCATGTACTCCATCTAAAGGCCTTGATATCATTTTGGCTGAATGTTTTTGATTGAATCTTGTATGCTAATGCCTTTTTTTCCTCTTTGGCTGGATCATTTTAATTGAATAATAGGTGTGGGCTACTTCTCTTACTCTGTTTGTGCCAATGTGAATTTTAATTTTTTCATAAAAAAAGATGTGAATTTTAATTTGTAGATCTCTAATTAAAATTATAGAAAAAAGAGATACACACTTTGTCCTGCAACCGAGAAAAGAGAAGCACTTTGTCTTGAAACCAATGATTGTGGGACCTATACACTTTGTCCTACAATCGAGAAAAGAGATGCACTTTGTCTTGAAACCAAAGATTGTGGGGCCTATAGGATTTTGTGAGCCAAACTATAGTATTCTTTATGCATAATTAATGAAGGGTATGGTGGGAATTTCAGAGTATAAAGTAGTTAAAAATAGAAAACATGACAAATATTTTGGGACAGCCAAAAAAGAAAAGAATGATACTTTCAATGGGACGGAGGGAGCAGGATTTATTGTGAGTAAATAGAGAATTGAGATTGATCCGACGAAAATCAAAGCAATTCAAGAGATGCTCATACCGAAAACTCAGAAGGACGTGAAAAGTTTTTTGGGAAGGATCAATTCTATCAGCAGATTTATTGCTCAATTAACGTCTACACGTGAGCCTTTGTTCAAATTATTAAAGAAGAATGTGCCGATGCACTAGAACAAAAAATGTTAGCAAGCTTTCGATAAAATTAAGGATTATCTGTTGAATCCTCAGATCTTAGAGCCATCGAAACCAGGTCGACCTCTGATCATGTATCTGTCTGTGTTGGGTGAGGCTATGAGATGCGTGTTGGGACAGCATGATGACTCGGGGAAGAAGGAGCAAGTCATCTATTACCTCAGCAAGAAATTCACCACCTACGAGACCAACTATTCTTTTCTTGAAAGGAGTTGCTGGACCTTAACTTAGGTCGCTCAAAAGTTGAGGCATTACTTGCTTAGTCACACTACCTACCTTATTTCTCACTTCAATCCTTTGAAGTATTTATTGGAAATATTGATACCGACGGGATGTATGGCAAAGTGGCAGATGATTCTTTCAGAGTTCGATATCATTTTCACTACGCAGAAGGCAATCAAAAGTCAAGCCGTAGCAGATCATTGGGCCGAAAATCCAAGAGAAGATGATTACCAGCCATTACATACATATTTTCCTAACGAGGAGATCTTATTTATTGGTGCGTTTGAAGATATGAACGAGCAATACCCTGGGTGGAGGTTATTCTTTTATGGCAGTTTGAATTCTTTTGGAGCCGAAATCGGAGCTGTTTTAGTGTCACCTGAGGGAAACCATTACCCTACTGCTACTACATTACGATTTCCTTGTACTAACAACATGGCTGAGTATGAAACTTGTATTTTTGGACTAAAAATGGCATTGAAAATGGAGATAAGGGATCTGATCGCGTTCAGTGATTTTGATTTACTAGTGCATCAAATGCTTAAATAGTGGGTAACGCGAGACTAAAAAATCATGTCGTATCATTGTAGTCTGCTTAGTTTGGCCAATAAGTTCAGAAGTTTGAAATTCAGGCATATCCCTTGCACTTGCAATGTTTTTGCTGATACTCTGGTCACTTTGTCTTCTATGATTCAACACCCGAACGAGCTAGTAATCGAACATATTCAGATTCAGTTCCAAGATAAACCGACACATTGCTTAACTATAGAAGAGATTTCTGACGATCATCTGTGGTATAGCGCCATCAAGGAATTTATAAAGGCGGGATCTTACCCACTGGATGCTGATTCAACTGCCAAAAGCTCCTGGCGCAAAATGTCATCAAGATTTATTCTGAACGGAGAGCTGTTATATAAGAAAACATCTGATTTGTGCCTTCCAAGGTGCATCAACAGAGAGGAAGCTGAATATATGATGAAAAAAATGCATAGTGGTGTATGTAGATCCCACATGAATGGGCACTTATTGGCTAATAAGACCATGAGAATGAGGTATTTTTGGCTCACCATGGAGTATGACTGTGTAGATTTTGTCAGGAAATGTATTAAATGTCAAATGCATGTCGATATTATACATGCTCCTCCTACAGAGTTACATAGTGTGACTACTCCTTGGCCCTGCTCAATGTGAGGAATGGACGTGATTGGAACTATTGAATCCCTAGCTTCAAATGGGCATCGATTCATCCCGGTAGCGATCGAAAATTTCACCAAATGGGTTGAAGCGGCATCTTACAAGAGCGTGAACAAAAAAGTAGTATCCGATTTTTTGAAAGACCACATTATCTGTCGTTTTAGGGTGCCAAAGACGCTGATCACTGACAATGCCAGAAACCTCAATAATGACATGGTAGATGGATTATGCGAACAATTCAAAATCAAACATCGGAATACGGCTATCTATAGGCTTCAGATGAATGGAGTAGTAGAGGCTGCAAACAAAAATCTGAAAAAAATCATTCTCAAAATGACAGAAAGGCATCGAGATTGGCATGAGAAGATGTCGTATGCATTAATGACTTATTGGACTGCAATTAGAACTTTTATTAGGGCAACGCCTTATTCTATCATGTACGATATGGAAGCAGTATTACCCGCAGAGGTTGAGATCTCCCCTTTGCGCATTTTAATGGAAACTCAGTTGAATAAAGCAGAATGGACTAAACAACAACACGAGCAACTATCCTTGATTGATGAAAAGCGATTAAATACCGTTTGCCATGAACAGTACTATCAAAGGCGAATGACTCGTGCCTACAATAAGAAGGTCAAACCTGATCTATTCCAAGAAAGGGACAAAGTTTTGAAACGAATTCTTCCCATCCAAGATAAAGCTAAAGGAAAATATGTTCCAAATTGGCAAGGATCTTTCATTGTTAAGAAGGTATTGCTCGGAGGAGCACTTATTCTCAAAGAGATGGACAGACAGATTTTTCCTCAGTCAATCAATTCGGACATATGCAAGACTTTTTTATCTGATTATGTGAATTTTTTTGAAATACGGTTTAAGGTGGACTAAAAGGCGGGCCTTTTTCTTTTTCCTTTGAACATTTTATCTCTAGTTCTCCCCTTTGAACCTCCAGAATAATCTACTCCTTAGTTTGGTAGCCGCCTAAAGATCGAAAACCACACACTGGGGCTAATTTTATCTTACATTTGTAAATAAATTTAAAAAAAAAAAAGAAAAAAGCAAAAGCCAAACTAGGGAAAATTTTTAAGTTTCAATAGCCTTATACTGGGGCAAGATTTTATAGGATGTGATCTTATGATTTTTGAAAATCCTAAAAAAAAAAATTTTGCCTTCCAGCCATAACATTTCTTAACACCACACCTGACCCCATTACAAAAGCCTTATAGCCCCGACTTCCACCTTAGCAGTGATTCTAATAGAAAATTTTTTAATCAAATGGCAAATGATGTCAATACACTTTCGTCAATTTTGCAAGGGAAGGATTGTCACACTGATGTCATCAATTCTTGAAACATATTTCTAAATCGATATAGGCTATAGGTAAAATTTGTTAATTAGGTGAAAACCTGAAAGGGCACCTTTTCAAAAAAAAAAATAACAACAACAAAAAAACAAGCAAAAGCAAAAGTAAAAGAAAGAAAATAAATGGGTTGGGGCAACCTTGGTGAAAACCCAAAAGGGTGCTAAGGTAGGGTTTTGAATCATGGACTAAGCCAGAAATAGAAAGTCGAGAGATTCTATATTCGTTTGGATTTCTCCTCGTGTTGAGCTTCATTTGGCAACACCAAATTTCAGAAATGTGGTATCTGAAGGGGTCAAGTGTGATGTTTTTCTCATCATAGATGGGTGATTCGAATTTGTATTTGAGTTTCCAAATTGTTCCGTAAACTTCGTCAGAGTCATTTTTCTTGTTGAAGAATTATTTTACTCCATTTGGTGTCCGCGTGAAATAATTTTGTCTAAAATTTTTATTCGCGTTCCATTTAACTCGCCCAAAAGACAATCCCTGTAATCTATCAGAATTGGTGCATAAACATATTTCTTATGGTCTAAACTCAGTTGGTTGAATACAGATGCTAGCAGATCAAGAAGGGGCTACACAAGATTTTTGAATCAAACAGTTGTGCGATATTAAAAGGATTGGATTTCTCAAAACTCGAGGGATCACATGCTAGTGGCATTATATTTCGTTGTAATTATTTGTCTTTTGTAGGATTGAACAACACACGTTTTCTTGAAGGATCAGAAAATCAGCAATCATTCAGTCAAGTCTAGTCTATACTGGGGCAATTTTGCCACAAAGGTGACATTTTATCATTTAAGTAAGTCTAATATTTGTTTAAAAAAAATAACGAAAATCACTTCGCACCTTTTGATTCAAACACATTTTTGGTCTAACCCTTTTATTTTGTTAGATTTGGATTTTATCCCACCGAACGTTTATTTTGTTGAATTTGGGTTTTATCCCATCAACTTTTTATTTTGTTAGGTTTGGGTTTTATTCCATCAATCACATCGGATTTGGATTTTATCCCACCGAACGCTTATTTTGTTAGATTTGGGTTTTATTCCACCAATCTTTTATTTTGTTGGGTTTGAATTTCATCCCACCAACCTTTTATTTTGGATTTTATCCCATCAAACATTTATTTTATTGGATTTGAATTTTATCCCACTAACCTTTTTTTGTTGAGTTTGGGTTTTATCCCACCGAATGTTTATTTTGTTGGGTTTGGATTTTCTCCCACCAACCATGTCAAATTTAAGTTTTATCCCACTGAACGTTTATTTTGTTGGGTTTGGATTTTATCCCACCAATCTTTTATTTCGTTAGGTTTGATTTTTATCCCACCAACCACGTCGGATTTGGATTTTCTCCCACCGACCGTTTATTTTGCTAGGTTTGGACTATCCCACCACTCCTTTTATTTTCTAGATTTAAATAATTAAGTTTTGCTAGTTGTTTCGATTGTAATTGAGTCAGATAGATAAATAATTTGGTGTCTACGTCTTTGTCTTGAGTTTTTTCGAAATCTAGACAAAGAGGGGCAAGTTATAGATAACAAATTTTATTATTTTATTTTATTTTGTTTCATTTCCATTTCTTGAAAAAAAAATCGATTTTTTAGAAAAATCGAAGAAAAGAAAAAAAAGAAAAAAAGAAAAATCAAAATCAATTTTTGTTAAAATATATATATATAAATTTTTTTTTTGCTCGCGCCCATTTCCACTCAATTTTGTTGCATTTTTCTTTCCATTTAAGCCCCCAATACAGGGGACAGATCATCTTCCAGTTCTTATCCCAAATCTGTCATCTAAAGGCTCAAAATCATCCCTAAAAATCGGTTTTATCGCACCCATTGACATTAGGGTTGGAGAGGGCTTTGATTCCATATAAATAGATAAAAATGGGGTCTGAGAAAGAGAGAGAAAGAGAGGAACAAGTGAGCAGGCGGTGGAAAAGAAACCCAAACAGAGAAAAAAGTGAGAAAAGGAAAAAAAATAGATTTTTCTGGAAAAATATGGTAACCAGGTTGAGCCGCCAGCCTTCTTCATCACTAAATTCCGATCTCGTTTTGAGTTTTTGGAGCGGATTCTCTGTTTCTAAACTTTCTTGGGAGGGATCTGAACAACTTTTATTCAAAAACTGTTTGGAAAAAACGTCTCCAAATCAGTTGAATCGGGGTTCCAAGTTCCAAGTTCACCATCGCTGAAATACCTACGGCAAAAGCTCTTTGAGTTTCGTTTCCAAAACCAGCGCGATTTCTTGGAGGCATTTCATGTTCATTTTACTTCACCGAGGTTCTAAGGTAACCATAGTTTCTCCTCTTGTTGGTTTAACACGATTTTTCATGAAATTCAAGCCTATTAGACATGAATCCTGAGTTATTTTGCTGCTGAGTTTTGCTTCATATTTCAACCGTGCTCATTTTTAGATGATTGGCTTGGTCATGGCTCTTTGCTGTTTGAGTTTAGGTTTGGGATTGTGAAATAAAGTTCATAAGATCTCATTTGTTTGGATTTTGTCTTGTGTGGTTTCTAGGTAATGAAGAACTCAGAGTTGCAGAAGAAGAAGAAAGCTTTTTTGTACTAGGCTGCATGGATTTTTTAAAATTGCACTTAGATCCCTTAATTTTTACGTAATTGCACTATGGTCCAAAAACTTCTGCAAATGAATCAATTTTGCCCCTTTTAAACTTTAATCTTCTTTTGGATGTTTTATGTGACTTGTTAGGTAGATTAATTTTGAGATTTAATACATAATTAAGGTCTAGCATTTTTTTTTGTAGATTTATCACTTTGTTGGATTTTAGTAAAATAGGTTAGGTTGGGTTAAGTTTTTTTTTTATATGGGCTATTGGTTAAAGTTTGAGGTTTATTTTGTTGGGTTTCACATGGGTTTGGAGGGTTAAAACCCAATGTTTTCGATTGGGGTTTGGGTGATAATAAAGAACGGGTTGGCCTGTTTGTTTTCTTGGACTTTTACTTGGGCTAAGCGGTTTCTGCCCGAAGGAAATAGAAAAATGGCCCAATGACCCAATTTCTTAAGAGAATCTGATGACAAAATTTCTGCTTTGACTCCTAGACCTTTAAATAATTATACTATGGCCCTAAAATTTTTGATTTCTTTCAATTAGGTTTCTAGTTTAATTGTATTTTGGTCCTAAACTTTATTTTTCTTTGATTTTGGTCCCTAATCTTTGTAATAATTATAAGTTAATCCCAAAAACTTTCTTAATTTTTGCAATTAGGTCCCTGACAGTTTTTATTTCTTAAATACAAGTTGTTTTTCTCTTTAATTGTTAATTACACCTCATTTAAGTGCTTTAATTAGTAGATTTCATAGTTATTTTCATTTATTTGTTAATTAAATTAGTGTCTTGACCATTTGTTGATTTTGGAGTAGAAGCGGCAATTTGGATTGAAATCCATTTATCCATCCATATAATCCATAATTAAATGGATAATGGATTATCCATTTATAGTATTGGTTTTAAATGGTTGATCAAAGTAAAACCATTAAATTAAATGGATTTATATGGATTATCCACTAAAACCATATATATCCATTTACTTAAAAACCAAATAAAAGAGAGGGAAAGGAAATGACTAAAAAAGGAGCCATCCTAAAATTGCAATTGGGGTGTGAAAATTTTGCTTACATGAACTAGTAACTAGAACAAGAAAAATATAGTTATTCATTTAAATGCATTTTTGAATAAGGTGAGTTACTAGTTTATTTTAATTCTTCACTTAGTGAAATCTAATTCATTTGCTAAGAAAGTGGGTCAACATCAGACCATGAGAGGATTTTGAATTAGGAGGGGTAAATTTGATCATTTTCTTTTTGGTAACAAACACATTAATAAGTTTACAAATCGGTTAATTAATCCACTTGAATCATATATCTATGAACTTTTACTTGTTCTAAGATCTCTCTTATTTTTTAAAGTACAACAGAAAACTGGTATCTGTTCTTGGACTTAATTAATTGAGAGGGAAATGCCGAATTTGAGATAAATTTAAATGCAGTCAAGGCTAAAAGTAGAAGATAATATGGGCCATAATTAAATTCCATGGATGCCGAATTTGTAGATACCCTACGTACGGTCTATGCAGGACTTCTATTATTTGGGCTAGTTTGCAATATATGGCTACTCTGTAATATGTAATATATATATATATATATACATATATAATAATAAAAATAATAATAATAATAATAATAATAATAATTTCAGATAGTTTTTTAGTGAAATGAAGGTTCATTTTGCTTGAATTTACATCCGTGGTATTTTGTGGCTTGAATTTACAAGAAATGGTAATACAAAAAAAAAGTAACAAAAATATTTAAATGGATAATAAATGGATAATTGGTTTTTATTTAATCCATTTAGATCCATCCATTTAGATCCATTTATTAAATGGATCTAAATGGATTGGATAAATTTTATCCACCATCCATTAAGTCAAAACCAATTATGAACCATTTATCCATATTGCCACCTCTATTGTGGAGTATAAGTAGAGCAAATTTCACTCCATTT